GGACCTCGCCTCGTTGTTGAAACCACTTGCGGTGTTTCAACTACTTTCCATGGCAATTTTCTGGCTCAGATTAGGTAATTTATTTTTTACTGCACTCACAAATAAAATGAGTAGTAATTTTAGCGATTGCAACAGTCTTTTACCTGACAATCAAAGCAGTTTGTGTGCTCAACTATGTTATCGAGGTAGAGGACCATTTCCACGCTCAGCGTCTGGGCTCTAATTTGGGGATCCACTTCATAGGTGTAGCAATTGTGATAAATTCGATCTAGCGTCTTCACCCAATGTCCCGCTTTGCGACAGTTGGTGCCTCTGATTGACGTACCGTTCTGATAGAGGACAACGCATGTTTGCACCAGTTGTTCGAGGCGGTGACCCAAATTGCTTGATTCCATGCCCTCAGGCAGGTTTAGGAGATAGGACTCGAGGGAAAGGAGTGTTGTGAATTGACTGGCATAGCGCTTTTCCAGAGTTGAGGCCACCCTCATTATGGCATCAAAGTAGGCCTGTACAGGAACTGCACCTTGGCGAATTAGACGATCCACATCAGACGACTTAAAGGGTCTCAAATTGCATATGGTGAGCGAGGGGAATGCTCTAGGAGCATCGAAAATGCGCTTCGCTTGATGAATCACATCATACTGTAGGTACTGATTCGTTATCATTATCAAGCAGGCTATGCATGAAATGAAGAAGATGGTGACGAAGTTTAACCAAAGCAAGCGTTTCCGGCGATCAGAAGCACGGACGATCCGCGGTACACCTCGCAGTGAGGTGTTTTCACAAAATTGAATAAAAAGCTCATATATTTGACCGAATTTCGGTTTGCTGCGGTCGATGTGTGCAAACTCATCATTGTGATCCCATCCACTCCGCTTTCCACCTCGAATTTCTGTGACCACGTCTGTGTTGGTCTCTTGGTTCATAACACTGCCGATGTGATCACACGGGATGATGCTTTAAAGTGGGGTGCTTATCTGGGTGGAGGTGGAAATCGACTACCAATTGGCGAACAAATGCTTGGGATGCACGAGCGTTGGCCAATTACCTAAAGACACAACCGTTTGGGCCAATTGCATTCGTCCTTTGCAGCATCTATTCGGCTCACTTTTCATGTAGCGCAGGGCCGGGTGAGCGTGTGCAGAGTTTGAAGACTGCACCACCTATTAGCACCGATTGCAACGAATGGAAGAGCATGGCTGGAAGTGATGATGAGATGGGAGTCTTCTAATAGGTGGTGGAGTCTTTTGTCCACATCCGATGGAAAAATGAATATAAGCAATAAGTACGGATTATACAACTTAGCTTTTTTGACAAGGAAGTGATTGCCACTTTCGTAACTCAAAGTTACTCCATTTTAGGGGACTAAGGTCTTCATCACTTCGTCTTTGTGACTTAAGAACGAAAATATTTCTGTTCCTACTTGCATTAACCGACTGTTCACAGTCTTACTGGTTGGAGAGGGTCAACAGGAAATTACCTTAGCTGGAAGTTGCAAACAAAACACCTAGTCTATTATTTTTGCCATTAAGCTATCAGCAACGTTAGTTTTAAAGCCCAATGGACAACACCAAAAGCATCCGTCAATGTTGTTTCAATTTCCTTTAGACGAATTACTGACGGTGTTTCCATAGCAGTCAAGTCAGCTCACACTTGCCATTCAATGACTTCCAATCTTAAAATAGTCCTCAACCTAAGAGCTGCTTCAACAAACTAATGCAATTCTTGGACAAAATCCTCGCTGCTCAAAGCGTTATTCTTAGTCCACCATTTTGTTTGGCCTACAAGATTCTTAAGCTTTACCACAGTTCTCTTTCGCTTCAAAATACTTACAATTTCACCACTCATACTTACTTTTATGGAAGAAGATTTACTAGCTTTGTATCATGCTCACTTTTTGAATCGCATGCTCTGTTTTTCTTCAAATGTTCAAAAATCGTGCTAGTCGGCTTTAAAGGAAATTACTTGAGCGGATTAACGAAACGTAAATGCCTTGCCTGAAGATTCAACAAAGTCCCATCCGCTATATCTGGGAGTGGATCTTAGAGTGCATGTCTCGCTTGCGCCCAAGTGACCTCCACACCCACTTCTCTCTTAAATGCTAAGAAAAGGGGCAACCGAGGTTTTTCGAATGTATTGGCATTAATGTTGGCTTAAGTTTCACGAAGTCTTGTAACTTGGCGAAGTAACAACACTCAATTAGCACGAGTAACACCCTTGAAACCGTATGAGGTTAGTTTGGTTAAAAACTGGGAACATTTTCACATTTAATAGTTGTCTTCTAGGTCTTGAGCCGCACAGAAAATTTTGTGGAATTGTTCACTAACACTTGAGGAGGAAGGAGTTATTTCACGACCTCTCGGAGGTGTCAGTCCTCTACCAAATGCGGCATTATCAGGCTGGCAATGGAGGATCACATGATAAATGACAGTCGGTACTTGATTTGTTGGTACATCCACCTTTAAAGATAGCCACTCGACACACCTGAGAAAGCATTTAGGATGTGGTATCATTAAAAGTCAACAAATAAAACCTTTTAATCGACAGGTGAATCAACAATTCCAGTAAAAAGTTTTACAACATCCAAAATTGTCCCATTTTGGGATCTACTTGAATGAAGAGAACAGACCTCATCAAGGAAGGACTCGGTTTCGTCAATATGAGAGGAAGATGGGAGAGAGGCTGGCAATGCTTACATTGCTTGCTTAGCTCGGTTTTGGCATCAGACCACCTTGAGTGCCCATCAATGCGTCTCTGCTTGAAGGAGTGGTGTACAGGCTATGCCAGTACCCCAAATCCAGCTGTATGTCCGTAGCCCATGATCTGCACGATGATGGTGTCTTCTTTCGCTTTTAAGGGAAGCCTCAGCGCTCCATATCAACTGGAAGAAGACGGCTGCTTTGCATGGGCGTACGCGTTTGCACAAATACCCTCATGAAATCGCGTGCTTTGTGTGGTATGAGGGTAGTCCGAGTAGAACAGTGTTTCATGTTCGTTCTGATAAATTTAGGGGGATGGTGGCGCACATATTTACATTAAATTGATAAAATTACCCTCAAATACTTCCGAACAAACTTTGGCGAGTTAAACAAATTCGGAGAGTTTTGTGAGTACCACTGAAAATGTGGAATGATTACCTTGCTCCTGCCTTGCATGTTATGATGAATCGTCAGGTTAAACTTACTTCGAGCTGACTGAGAAAGTGCAAGATAAGGAAGAGTATCAAGCGATTGAATTGAGGCTGCTTGTTTAGCTAGAGTTTGAGAAGTTTAGTAAGTTTATTTTGATTCATTGAATAAGGGTCGACAACCACATCGTGTTTTTAAGTAGTGTGTGTGAGGGCCTTCAAAAACGAAAGGAAATGATTTGGTGATCATTTTAATAGGAATGTTTTGTGCAGTCAAAACCTCAAAGAAGGATACGGGCTATGCCATTTATCAGTAGGAATTATTGATAAGGCCGTAGGCGGTGGAAACACCCAAATGAGCAAATATGGAAAGAGCGAGTGACGAGACTGGCGCGGACAGAGGCGTTATCTCCCATCTCCGCGGTGAGTGCGATGAGCAGACTCTGCCCAACAGGTTGTGCTAGGTCCAATTAATGCTTCACTTATCTAAACAGACGCCTAAAATTAGCATATTCATGTGATTCATTTATACTCCTCGGGCACTTCATAAAATAATGCAAGGTTATACCATTTGATTCCTTTAGTTGAAAGTCGTTGAAGTTGGTGGGATTTGGAGCGGTAAGCAATTTATTTTCTGTAAAAATATGCTCATCCCAGTCGTAGAAAGGACTAAGTATTGTGCCTTAGTGATCTCTTAAATCCACGGCATTTAGTCTCGTGCATTTTTTAAAAGCCCCAGGAGATTTTCAACGGAGGCGAATCTTGCCATCCGAACACCTTTCACAACATCTCCAAGTGAAAAGAGACCTGTGATGTCGACCCACAAATCACTGGGACTGTGGCAATCGCTTAGGCGGGCCCGCATTTTTTACTGCAGATTTGGCTTTCTTGTCAACCAGCTCGGCGCAGTAGCATATTCACTAACTGGTATCAAGCTTCTGCGGCAGACTCTGAATAGAGGACGCTGAGGGGTTGTATGTGGTGCAAGAATGCATGAAAGGCGTACGGAGGAATCCCTCATTTAGTTTCCTTAATATTCTTGCGTACATTCTTCGCCAGTCAAGCATCAAAAAGGAATATATGGGAAGATTTGCTGCCATAAGTGGTGATTACGCCAAATAATAGCTTTTTCAAAGTAGGGCGCATCTGGTTTACTAGACATTAAACCGATTTGTTAGTCGTGATATTTAGTTAAACAATGTCTATGTTTGCCCTACTGGAAGAGGCGTTATAAGAACCCGCCTCATATTGTCGATCATTTGTCAATTCATTTGTGATAGGAAATCAACTTTGAGACTCAAAGGGTCGTAAATACGACAATCTTATCGCTGACTCGGACAGGTTCACTCTGCACCTACTCTACGTATTTCTGAGGCACTCACACAATCGCACGCCAACATGCTTTGTTTGGCAGATGGCACCGGTCCCCGCAAATCTCCCGCATAGTGAAGACTATGCAACTAATTGTACAGTCATCTTGTTTAACTGGGCAACGATATTTGGCTTACCTCCTATTTGAACTATCTGAACTGTCCTCCATATTATTTGTCCTTTCCCATAAAGTTCATAAGTTTAATGGAAATGCGTATATCCTGAGAGGCATCTGTCTATTAATGGCCGTTTGTTAACATTCTAAGCCGAAGGTTGCATTATCCATACCTTGAGCGCGTCATTTACATTGCTGTGCTGCTCTAGAGGCTGTTGTGACCACAACAAAACAGAATTAAGTGGAGTTTGTGCCAAAACATTGTTTTCGACTTCCTAACCCCTCCAAACTACATGATTGCCTTTTCATTTCATAACTTTAATTTTTTGTTTACTTTTCGTCTTTGTCATCCGGATGTTTTACTGTCGATCATTGGCCTCATTGAGTGTGACCTCTGGACAACGCCATCCTTTTTGCACTTCAGAAATGCGTTTTTGCAATCATCTTCATCATGTTGATGTTAAATGCCGAGCCTTAACTCAGCAACTGAGGTGCAGTTGCTGTAGCTGGAAGGATCAGCAACTATCTCTGATGGAGGCTGAAAAAATGACGTCTACCTTTGGCAACTACCCCAGTTTCGAGGTTCGCAGTGAAGCTGTTATTTATGAAAACCACAATAGCTGCGAACTATTCGGAGAAGTTTGTCGCAGAACTGATTAACTTGCATGAATGAAGATACCAAATAAGTAAATATGCAGTACTTTTGCACTTCTCTCCTAGCTGGGTGGTGCCCAGATTGATGTGGTGGGTCAGCTCTAAAGCGAAACCAACATGTTATCAATCCTTGCATTGGAGAAAACTAACAAGCTAACAAGGCTGGAAGCCATTACAGTCGGGATCCTTCTTAATTTCTCTTGAATTGGATGTGAGGTGCGGCTGGCCCACCGCCGTTGCGAATTCCACTCTACCATTATGCCTTCATTCTCCTTCAAGAAATGCTGCATTGTGTCACTAATTTATATTCTAAAATCATTTTATGGTTATTTGCTTTGCCACTGGGAGGGCTGAAATCGCGACCCTAACAATCCTCCATTTATTTAGTGTACCTATGAGACACATATTTCACTTTATCCACAATGTCAAGTCGTTAATCTACGTTCACATCACTTTCGCTTTTTTGCTGCAGCTGCATAACACCATAAATTAGAGTAGACGTGTTTTGTTTTGGCTCCAGTTCATAGGATTAACCCTGTAAGGATTTCACAGCCATGATAGGCAGCCAGGAGGAGTCTTCGGGCAAGGATAAATGGAGTTGGGACGTGGTCGTTGCAATGCGTCAGCCTGTAAGTGAGCAGATGAGAAATTTGCTCGCT